TGGATCAGCTCCATAGTTCAAGTGCTGGTTCCAGTAACGGGCAGCTGAGCTGGCTTAATTGCTGCTGTTGCCTCAGCCTAGTTCTGCACGTAGCAGCAGCACCAGCAACAGAGCGGTAGGGTGAGAAGCAGGAGGCATTCCCCAGGAGCAGCTCCCCTGAGATCTCATAAGAGTTCCCGCCTCCTCCTTCCCATAGTACCTAGGGTCCTTGGGTAGTCTTGTTTGAACTTACCCCATGATAGACGTGTTTGTTTATCAGGAGATCACTTCCTAAACTGCCTTTTATCTAATGGTGGAATTGAGACAACCAAGCACCACTGAGCTGTGGGGATTGCTTGTGGGATAGCACCTGTCAAAGCTGGCAGTTGTGGGGGCAGTGGCAAGGTCTGGAGACATGGTTCAACCCTAACTCCTAACTCTCTGGTGAGCTGAGAGGCATCCTTGTACTGCAGACTCGTTGCAAGTGGTAGGGAGATGACTTGAGACTCCGTGGGCTCCACCACCCAAGGCTCCATTCTCTGGAGTAAATGTGTGCAGGGCTGCCTCCAAGCAGGCTCTTCCAAACCTTTAAAGGGAAGGCGTGGATCCATTTTGTTTCTATTATTTTGTGACAGCCTCCCTCCCATGAGCCTCATTCAAAAAAGGTTACCTTATTGTTAAGTGATTGTTGAAAACGTATCAATCACAGAGGCGTGGCAGATGGTACAAGCACCTACAGGCCAGGGGGACTAGTGCAAGACGGAAGCATACTGGAGGTGATGCTCTTGCTGTTGCCTTTTTGAAATTTTAAATAAATTGCTTGTTTTGATCCTGGAACTCTGCAACAGTCTAACTGCCCACCCTCCCAAGAGCTGGGATTACAGGATTGAGACCCTTTGCCCAGTTCTAAGTAGCTTTCAAAGGAGGACTCAGGTTTTTACTTTGCTCTGGACTCTGCAAATTCTGTAACTTCAAAAATTCCACTTTTGGGCCAGTCAGTGGTGGGCTTTAATCCCAACACTTGGGAAGCAGAGGCAAGAGGATCTCTGTGAGTTCGAGGCCAGCCTGGTCTACAAGAGCAAATCCAGGCTAGCCAGAGCTACACAGAAAAACCCTGTCTCAAAAAGCAAAACAATACCATTCTTGAATGGAGGGAAAGGATAATCTACTTGGAGGGAGAGCGGGAAAAGCTTCTGGGGAGGGGGCCCTTGGCCCAGGAAAGGGGGAGCTGTGTGAACAAAAGGCTGAGGTCTGGGAGGCTGATCTCACCTCACGACAAGGGCCTTAGTCTGCGTGTGAGTGGATGCGGCTGTGCAGGTAAGGTGAGTGTGTGTGTGTGTGTGTGTGTGTCTTTCCCTAATGTGTCAGTACACACAAGGGTGTGTTAGAGACTGAGTGTGAGTGTGTAGTGCCTGCCATGCATACAGTGTAGATGACGAGGGGTTATTCGTATGAGCATGGGTCTATATGTTAGTGTGGAGTATGTGATATATGTATGTGTGATTGTAGCATGTAGGGATGTGTTGACTTTGTGACATGAGTGGTGTGTGTTTGTACTCCTGTATGCATGCGAGGGGCTACTGTGTCAGGGACAATTGCAGGGCAGTGTGACAGTTCCTTAGGAAGCACCTTCTCTGTGCTAGGTGCTGACCTGAGTATGCTTGTTTAGACACACCGCCACTGGGTAAGGACGGAAAGGTACAATCGGACAGATGGACAAATGGCTGAACTAATAAAAGTCCCTTACAAAGCTTCCAGATTTGGGGGCATTGAGATTCACAAGGTGTTGGCTAAAACCAAAGGGCCCAGCATAGCAGTCAATAAAGAAATCATTTTCCAGCTGGTTATGGTGGTGCAGGCCTTTAATCCCAGCCCTCTGGAGGCAGGGGCAGGCAGCACTCTGAGTTGGAAGCCAGAAAGTTAGTTCCAGGACAACCAGGAGAGGAAAAGGGTTTCTACATAGAGAAACCCTGTCTTAAAAAAAGAAAGAGAGAAACAGAGACACACATACAGAGAGAGAAAGAGAGAGACAGAGAATCTTTCCCCAGTAATATTCAGTGACATAGTCACCCTCTCATTAAATTAACGGCAAACCAAACAAAACCCTTCCCTTCTTCACCTCCTATTCTGCAAATCTAGAATGCCCCAGATATGATAGGAGGGTGAGGTTGTGGGATTCTGGGAACCATTCAGAAGAGGCATGCCCAGCCCCCCTCCACCCTCCGCCCTGCCCCAGGCCTGGGCCCATTGGGCACACCCAAGCCGTGGAGGGTTGACCTCTCTCTGACCCACCCAGCAACACACATGATCCCACAGAAGTTGATAAGAGGTGACCGGCTCAGGGCAGGATATAAAAAGCCGCACCCAGGGCACACCCTAGGGGACCCAGGGCAGGTGGCAGAGGACTGGATAGAGGACCTGGGCTGCTGAGACTTGGGATAAGTTTTCGGCCTTCCACAGAGAACTGAGAAATGCCAGCCTAGGGGTCTGGGTGGACAGGAGAGAGAACTATTGAGGTGAATGTTGTGGGTAAGAAGTGTCCCCAGAGGCTGGGCATGACAGCCTTTTAAGGTTAAAGCAAGGAGGTTTGAGGCCAGCTGAGACTTCATATTGAACTGTGGGTTGTTTAGTCTGTGAGATCCTTTCTCAAAAAGATAAAAGCAAAACAAACAACCAAAAATGCCAAAGAAGTTTTCTGGGAACTTGGGTGGCTGAGGCAGGAGGATCAATGCTAGCTCAAGACATGCTTGAGCTACAACATGGATAGAGTCCAAGACCAGTTTGGTTACAGAGTGAAACTGTATCATAAAAGGTTGCCCCTGAGGACTCTGCTCCAGGCCCTGGCCGGAATGCTGGGTTTCTGGTCCCAGCTGTCACCTGACAGTGACCTTGGGCCAGCTTTGGCTCCTGTCAGTGCTTTGGGACACCTGGTCTTCTCGGAGGGTATGGGATAGATCCATTGTGATACTGGAGTTAGAGAAGCACCTCATAAACTGAGGAGGGCAGACCAAAGGTCTGCTCAGGCCTCAGGTGCAGCTGCTTCAGCCGTGCTAGAGCTTTGGCAGGCTTTTCAGCCTTCTAGCTCCACTCATACCTCACGGGCGAGACTCACCTCAGAGGTCTCTTTGGAGCTGGGAAAACTGAGCAAAGCACAGCAAAGATGACCTTTCCCCTCAAACCTCCTACTTTTGATTAGGGGACCTCCAGCAGCAAGAGGTTCTCTCCCTCTCTCCCTCTCCTCAGACTGTCTCTTCTCTTTCTGTCTTTCTCTGTGTGTCTGTCTCTCTCTTTCTCTGTCTCTGTCTCTCTGTTTCTGTCTTCCAGTCTCTCTCTCTCTCTCTCTCTCTCTCTCTCTCTCTCTCTCTCTTTCTCTCTCCAGGGTTTCTCTATTTCTCTATTTAACAGCTCTGACTATGGCTATCCGGGAACTTGCTTTGTAGACCAGGCTGGCCTCAAACTTACGGATATCCACCTGAAGTTTTCTCTTTAAAGACAGACTCCAGAGCACATCTGTAGAGAAACTATCAGTGTACAACGCATACAAATGAGGTCATTGTTTGGCCAAGTGGAGCCACACACAGTGCGTAGGATGGTGGTGGCACACCCCCAGCACTCAGAAGGCAGAGGCAGGTGGATCTCTGTGAGTTCAAGGCCAGCCTGGTCTACAGAGGGAGTTCCAGGATAGCCAGGACTACACAGAGAAAACCCTGTATGGAAAAGCTAAACCAAACCAAACCAACCAACCAACTAAACTCATAGCAGTCCTGCTTCTCCTTCCCAAGTGCTGGAGTTACAGGCGAGTGAAAGGCCATGCCCCCCACTGCACTTCACTCAGGAGCGGCCAACAGTGGCATGGCTTCAGCTGAGGACAGCTCAGATCCCAGCCCCACAGAGAAGCAGCAAAGCAGAAACTCTGAAGAAATTGAGGCTCTTCTGGAACTTACTCTATAGACCAGGCTAGCCTAAAGATCAGCCTTCTGCATGCTGGAATTAAAGGGACGTGCTGCCGCTGCCACCACCATGTGGCTTAGGACCTCTACGTTTGAACATATCATTTTTTTTTCCTTTAATGTTTCAAAGATTTTCTCTTGGAAAATACCCAATAAAACATTTTCTTTCTTGAATTGTTAAAGAAAAAAATTATATAGAAAACAGAGACGGAGAGAGACAGAGAGATCCGGGTGGTGTAGTGCATGGCTTTCATCCAAGTACTGGGGGCATGGGGGTGCTGACACAGACAGATCATGGGATCTCTAAGCTTGAGGCCAGTCTAGTCTATACTGTGAAATCCTGTCTCTCTCCGTTTCCAAACCAAAAACCAGGTTGGAGAAGCCCCCAAGCACAGGGTAGGGGGCAGGGCCCTTCAGCTCTGTGGAATACCTATGGACTCTCACTCTGCATCGACACTGGGATCATCTCTTCTTGGGAGAGGATAGCATGGGGCTAGAGCAGCCAAGCCTGGCTGAGGACTTGGCTGTCAACCATCACCAGCTCCCACTCCCTCTCATCAAGCATTCATCTCCAGCTTTGTTTTGCTTTTCCCGTTACAAGATCCTATCTGTGCTTTCATGTCAGTCACGACGCTAGGATTCAGGTTACAGATCTTTAGCGTGCAGCCAAATTGGCCAGAGTGCAAAAGCATCTATTGACAAGGCGGGACTTGCAACTCTAGACTCCTTGGAGGACGTCAGATCCAAACTCTTGTGTTGTACAGGAGGAAGCAGCCCTGAAGAAGATGGATTTGGCCAAGGTCTCTGAGCACATGGTTGGTGGCAACAGGATAGCCCTGGTCCTGTTTCTAAGCTCGTGTCCTTGCTTGTGTGAAGTCATGGGTCCTTCTTCAGTTGTCAGCTACCTCACCCATTTTCTTCTCTCGACCACCAGCCGACCCTCTAACTGCAGAAGTTCACACCCAGCACCCCCCCACATCTTTCTGCACGTTTACCTCTTCTCCCTCCCGTTTCCATGCCTTAGCCAATCTAGAGCCCCAAATTTCAGTACACAGATAGCTCAGACCAAGGTTAGAAAAAGCCCAGAAGGCACTTTATTGGAGGTTTCAGCCTCCATTCACAGGAAAGGGGATCCAGGAGCCCCATCTTGGGGCCTCTGGCATCACCCAACTTCTCGCTGGTCCAGTTAGGGGCCCTAGAACAATCAGTTTGGCCACCAGCACTCAGTGGAGAAGAGCAGGGAGGGGGAAATGCATTAGAAAAAATAGCTCTCTATATACACCTGAAATATTTATAGCACATAAATTAGGGATGCCCCGACCCCCGTCTGTGGAGCCTGAGTACTAAGCAGCAGAGAGATGGAAGCCAGTCCGAGAAGTACTGGAGGACACAACCCTGTCCCCTCTGTCCCTGCAGTCTCTCCTCCCACAGTCTCCCCAGCCTCCTTGGCTGAGGCCAGGCATCTGCAGGTGGGTCTCTTCTGCAGTCAGTGTTGGGACTAGAAGGAACTGGATTCACAGCTGGAGAGTGAACAAGTTGGTTCAAACCTCGAGGCTTGTAATTCCAAGAGGGCGAGGAGAGGCCAAAGGCTGCACTTCAGGATACTTCTGAGGACACGCCCAACAAGGTCTTCCTCTACAGCAACACAGGGAACACATCCACAGTAAGGGGGCCTTCAGGCCTGCCTGTCCTTCCAGGAAGGCTTCAGTTCTGGAGTTTATGCTGGTGTCAGGTCCTGGGTCCAGCCCAGACTGTTAATTCCGACTCTCTCCAACCTCTTCCTCCTTCCAGCCACTGGAGTTCTTGCCAAACTTGTAGACGAGCCGCCGGCCATCCACCCGTTCCAGGATCTCCCGTTTGTAGTAGTACCTGCGTGGGAAGGAGGTGGTCAGAGGTGCAGGCAAGAGCCGTGCCGTGGACTGAGCTTCCCACTGTGCCGAGCCTGCCCTCGCTGCCTGAGTTTTCCTTCATCTCACCTGTTGTTGCCACGTTGATCTGTAATTATAGCCAGAGCACCTGCTCCTGCATTAACTTCTCTGTGCCTTCTGGCTATGTCCTGGGGCTTTTCATAAAGGCTCACGAACAGAGGGACAGAGGGGACATTAGTGATGCTGAGCTAGTCCACCTTTGTGGCACACGGGAAGAAATTGTGACCCTGAGTCAAGGGAGCTGAGCTGTCAATCTCTATTCTTTCTCTCACCAAGTGTCTTTCTTAGAACAAGTCTGCAGGAAACACAGAAATGCTACCTAAAGCTAAGCGTGCTCACAGTGTCTGCCTAGTGCTCTCTCCACTTAACCGACAATACAGGCCAAAACGCTGTCCTTGTCCTCTCCACAGGGGCCTCACACCTATCACAGGAAACCTAGCAGAAGCCAGTAGAGTCCAAACAGAGGTCCCTGACAGCTCACCTCATGGCCCGGCTCAGCTTCTCATAGGTCATGTTGCTGTTCTTTTTCTTTTGGCCCCATAGTTGGGCCACGGCCTCTGAGCGAAGAAACTTGAACACGCCCTCATGCCGGTTCTCCCATTTCATGAGGCCTTCGTTGAGCTCGGGGTGGATAAGGATATCCCGGATGAACTCCCACAGGTGAGTACCTCTGGGGGCTACAAGAGAAGATTTCCGCAATTATCAGTCTGGGGTGCCCCTCTCCAGGCCACCTGGCCTCACCTACCCCCACGATGCTAAAAGTCAAGGCATGTGAGAGTATCTACAATGTCCCCCTCGTGATCGCTATAGTGGCTGCTTCCTTTCTTGCCCCAAAATGCAGTGCGCTAGGCAGACTGCACAGAGCACACGATTCTCACACCAGATAAGGATCAAAAATCTGGTTAAGCTGGGACAGTGACAGAGACACGCTTCTTGGTGAGGGGCTCATAGATCAGTGGGGACCACTGTTGGTGAGAACTTGGCACACATGGGGTCAGAGAGCTGCCTATAGCCTGAGGGATCAAGAAGCAGCTTCCCGGAATTAACAGTCCCCTCAGGACAAGAACAAAAGCAGGCAACGAGTGCGTACGTGCAGGTCTGTGTGTGTGGAAGAGGCGGCAGGCAAGACCTTTGGGGTGACCTCCAGGTGGTTCGGAGCAGCTGGAGAACACAAAGCCTGAGGCTCCTTCAGTACACTGTGCCTGGAGTCCCAGCCACCCCAGCCTGCCTGGCTTTGAGCACCCACCAGCTGCCTCATCCCCATCGGAAAGTTCCATCAGGCAAGATAGGGGTCAAGTACACAGATAGTTAACAAGGAAGTGTGAGGGAAGACTGGACTCTCCATGGCCTCCTCTAGGACCCTCAGTTCCCTTCTTCTCTAAGTCAAAGCCAGCCTCTTCGAAGAGGTGGTAACGAATGCCATGGAGCTCGACAACTGTTCACAAAGCTAACAATGCAATCAAGTTCCAGCAGCCAAGAGAGGCTAGAGGAGGCTGAAGGAATAGTGTCCCTCTGCCTCAGGCCCGTCAGCCCCCCAGAACTTACCGTGCTTGCTTTTCTTGCCCTCCAGGCAGTCCCAATATTCTTTGCTCAGCTTTCGGGGACGCCCCCGTTTCCTCTTTCCGTGCTTGGGTTCTGCCTTCTTATAGTCAGGAAAGCCGTCTATGGGAAGGGGTTGGAAGGTGAAGAGAAGGTGTGCAGGGTGTCAACGGGGAGCCCTGCTACAGAAACCACAGCCGTAGAGCAGGGGAGAGTAGAAGAGAGTGGCTGGACACTGTGGACAGGACCCCCAAGAACAGCTCTCAACTCACCTCTAGGGAAGACCTTGCTATCAGTGAGGTCCAGGTCCACATCACTTCCACCGGAGTCAGAGGAGTGGGAACTCTGGGAAGTAGCGGTCCCTAGGGGTGAAGAACACAGCTTGAGTGCCAGGGCCAGCCTACAGATTTCAGGTACTCAGTCTAAGAACTACAAGTACTCTGGGGCATTTGGAGAAGGGAGACTATGGGGCAAGGGCAGGACTCTTACCTGTAATGGAGACATCAGAGCTACCAGGGGAGGGCGCTCCAGGGCCATAGGTACTGCCGTAGTAGGGACTGGCCTGGCGGCCATCATCCAGTAACTCCTGGCCAAAAGGACTTCCCTGATCTGAGAAAAAGAAGTTAGAGCTTAGAGAGGCCCAGAAGACCAGTGAGGACGGGCACAACCCCCAGGGGGCCAGAGAAGTGACTATGGACTTTTTTCAAGTCGGGAGACTATCTCTAGCACTTTGTTAGAGTTGCAGAAGGGACACGGCACGCTAGGGAGGGGAAGGAAAGAAAATGGATTCTCACCAAAGGGGCCGGAGTCTCCTGGGCCCTCTTGGAAGGCCATGCCGTCCTTCTCCAGCAACTCGATGATCCAGCTGAGTTCATCAGAAGAGCTGGAGGCTGGCGGAGGCAGAGAGGGAGGTCATTGTTCCAGCAGGGGCTCGATGGCTGGACCCTCTAGCCAGGAGCTTCAAGTCCTCCCCAAGTCCCATCCCCTCCCCTGCCCCCGTTTATTCTCTAGGCCCCGTGGCTCCCCGGCCTAGACTTACTGAGGTCCCGAAGCTGGGCATGGAGTTGGTCTCCCAGAGGCCCAAAGACTAGACGCAACTCCTCCAGCGCACAGCTGCAGAGGGTGGCTCCATCCATGTCGCAGCGGGAGAAGTCGATGGAGCTGGCGTCATACTTGTTCTTCTCCACCTGGTAGCTGATCCAGTCAAGTACCTGGGTCTTCGACCAGAACTGGGGCCGCTCTCCGGTCCAGCTTGCCTTCTCTGCAAGGTGGAGTACAGCCAGAGGATCAGTTCTGTCCCTTTGGGATCTTGTCTGAGATCCTACACAACCCACAGGGTGGTGGTGGGGGGGACAGATAAATATTCATAATCACAACATGGCTGGTCTCAGTGCGTCCTCCCTTAATCTGTCACCACAATCCTTATAGTCCCACCACCTCAGCCACTACAGTCTTCTCAGGGACTAGGAATACAGTCTAGTGGGAATAAGGTCTTGCTTGGGTCCTTTTCCCAGTACAACTCAAATATATGAATGAATAAATTCTCTCCAGCCCCTAGCCCTGGGATACCCTCAGAGACCTTCCTCCCTGCCCATTTATCTATGACCCTCTCAAGCTGGTGTCCCATCCATGAAGATTTGTCACGGCCCTCACCTGGACCTCCCAGTGACATCTGTTGGTTGTTCAGGGTCAACACCAAGTCTTCAGTGCCAAAGGTAGTCGGAGGAGCAGGAGCCAGGGTGGGGTCTTCTGAACTGTACATGGCGTTGAAGTAGTTACTAAAAACGTTGCTGATCTCACAGGTGGCAGCCATGAGGCCCCCTGGGAAGAGGAGACAAGGCGGTGAGGGTGCAGGTCAGGGTACACTTCCATTACTGTCTGGCAAAGGCTGGGCAGCAACAGCCAAGAGGCAGTAAGTTCGGTGTTGCGGTAGACATTCTCCCTTCAACACCCCGCACACCACTACCAAGAATCAGCTACTTGGAGAAGCTGAGGCTGGATGCTCTCTTGAGCCTAGAAGGCTGGGAAATTCTGCTCCGAAAAAATAAAAATAATCTCAAAGCGGGTGGAACCATGATAAAAATTCTGCTAGGGCTCCCTCCACAAATCACCTGGGCTCTTGAACCAAAGAAGCCACCCTGTCCCTCCAAGACACCGATCTGGTCTCTGACCAGTCCCAGGGTACACCCATAATAGCTCCGACACTCCAGCTAGGAGCCTCCAAGCTAGAGTGACCAAGTTCAGAACTGTAAATCCACTGGACGGTTCCCGTGGCCGGAGTTAGGGAATGTGACCCTACCGAGTGTCAGGGTTCGGTGTGGCAGGCGGGTGAGCAGGCTTCTGGGGCCACAGGAAGGGAAGAAATCTAAGCGGTGGAAGGCTCCGCCAGGTAGCAGTGATGAGAGTGGTCAGAGCGCTCCCCCCGCCCGCTCTAAATAGAGCAAAGCAGAGCTCCTCCCCGCCAGGTCCTCTGTGTGCCTCCCCAGTTGTAACCTGAGCTGGTGGCTCATTGGATGCAGGGGATTTCCTGGCCTTCAGACTGGGCTCCGGGTCTCAGGTGATTTGCATATTCCGTGCCACTTGGCCCAGATCCTAGCAGGCGGTGCTGGGAAATCAGGCTTGGCTGGTTTAATGATTGTCAGAGTCTGTCATTCCGCACCCTCTGGGGTTGGGCCCTGGGTACTGGGCTGGGCAGGTGGCGGGAACATTGCTGGGGTGGGCATCTGTGCCTTAGGCTGCCCTCTAGCCCGGGAAATTCTTCCCGGGGGCCAGGTCAGGGCTGAACTAGGGAGGAGAAAGCAAGGTAAGAAATCTGAACCGGTGGTTGGGTCAAGACTGCATCTAACTGTCTAGAGTTCTGGAGACAAAAAGGGCCTAGTAAAAGTTACAGAGGCTAAAGGGTTTTCTCCACAACACCCAGAAACTGGGATTCTGAAAGCGTCTAGGCAACACACTGGACAACATTCACGGTCCAGTGGTGGTTTGGGTCTGATAGTCTAGCCAGCCACAGAGTCCACTTGGTAACACTTTGCCTGTCTGGAGCCCACCCAAACGCGATGGTTGCTGCAGCGGTAGAGATTGGGCACTTCTTCAAAAATCTTCCCTGGTGCCTGTGGCGCTCTCCTAGCCTAGGGTAGACTGGAGGTGCTGTTTGGTTAATTCTCAAGTCTGGTCGGCTCGTGATTATCCTTTTCTCCGCCCAGTCCATTAGTATCTGCCTGCTGCCCTCTAGTGGTTGGAAGCCCAACATTTGCATCATTAAAAAGACAAACAGGATGTGTATGTTAATTTACTGTTTACCGAGGCACTTAAAAAATAAAAACCAAGCAGCAGGGGCTGGGGCTGCTCACGTGTTTAATCCCGGCACTCCCGAGGCAAAGACAGGAAGATTTCTGAGTTGGAGGCCAGCCTGGCCTACAGAGTGAGTTCCAGGACAGCCAGGGTTACACAAAGAAACTCTGTCGCAAAAAACTAAAAATACAAAAGAAAATCTCCTCGGAGATGCTGGAAATTGAACCCAGAACTTCTTAGGCAAGCACTCTACAAATGGGTTCTATTCCCAGGACTCTTTGTTTTTGAGACACCATCTAGCTACGTATACCAGGCTGGCCACAAACTCAAGAGATAGGCCCTATTGTTGAGTTAAAGGGTAATCACCCAAACCAACACCAGAAACCTTTTAACACAACAATCTTCATCCAAAAACATCCAATAAGCAATGTGCGGCTGCAGAGATAGCTCAGTGGATAAGGGTGCCTGCTGCTAAGCCTGAAGACCTGTGTTCCATACATGGTAAAAGGAGAAAACTGACTCCTGTAATGTGGTCCTCTGACCTTAATGTGCAAGTGTACACACATATACACACTTAACAAACATATGTGTGTGTGTGTGTGTGTGTGCATCTTTTTTGAGACAGGGTCTTTCCGTAGTTCTAGCTGTCTTGGGACTCACTATGTGGCTGGTCTCCAACTCACAGAAATCTACCTACCTCTGACTCCCCAGTCCTGGGATTAAAGGCATGCCCACTATGCCTGACTGTAAACATGATTCTTTTTTTTTTTTTTTTTTTGGTTTTTCGAGGCATGGTTTCTCTGTATAGCTCAGGCTGTCCTGGAACTCACTCTATAGACCAGGCTGGCCTCGAACTCAGAAATCCACCTGCCTCTGCCTCCCAAGTGCTGGGGTTAAAGGCGTGCGCCACCACTGCCCAGTGATTTTTTTTTAAAGATTTATTTATCATATATACAGCATTCTGCCTGCATGTATGCCTGCAGGCCAGAAGAGGGCACCAGATCCCATTACAGATGGTTGTGAGCCACCATGTGGTTGCTAGGAATTGAACTCAGGACCTCTAGAAGAGCAGCCAGTGCTCTTAATCTCTGAGCCATCTCTCCAGCCTCTGTAAACATGATTTTTAAAATATTAAAAAGCACTGTTGGATACATGTCGTGATACATGCCTTTAATCCCTGAACTCCTAAGGCAAGTGGACCTCTGTGAGCTGAAGTCCAAGCCTGGACTTCTAGTCCAGGATAGTTCTAGGCTATCATGGACTACATAGTAGTGATACTCGAAAGAAAGAAAGAAAGAAAGAAAGAAAGAAAGAAAGAAAGAAAGAA